GGGATAGAGCTGTGCTTTTAAAATTATTATAGGAAAGACTAGACAAAATGGATTTGCACTGCCTTTTTGAACCTTTATGACTACTGTTTTCTAAGAAGAGATAATTTTGTGGTCTGTCACCTTAAAGATGTATCAGAAAGACCATCATCTGTTAGAGGACTCAGTGAAGATATTAAGCAGACATTGATGGGATAAAGGTATCCAGGTGATTGAAACACTGTCAAAGACTTTCTTCCTCAGGTCTGTGCAATGGTTGACTCAAGAGCAAACACATACAACATTCAAATAGCTCTATGCAGTTTAAAAACAGTGTTTTTTTCTTCTCAATTAATGTGGTCTCATTTGTGAGGTTTCTTTGATACCTTAACTTGACAAGACCCTCATAATCCATAGAGTCTTCCAGGAGAAAAAAATATACAAAATCTAAAACTGTAAGCAGATTTATACATCATAAAGAAACCAAAAAAGATAAAATCATTTTTACTTTGTAGTTCTACATTAAAGCTCTATGCTCTACTTATTAATAAAGCAATTCATTAAGTAAAGGTGATAGCTATTAGAGGGAATGATTGCTTAATTAGCAATGTTGTGTGATCAAGGATGGTTTATGTCAATTAAGGCGATTCTGCTGCTCACTCAGTTACTAATAATAGTAATTTTCAAAAGAAAGCTTGCAAATTACAGATGTGAAAGTTGACATGGAATTGCAGTATTTATTCATAGTGATTAATTCTCTCCTTTATGAATTTTAAAGTCTTTGTTCTGTGCCTTTTTTTTTTTCCAAGCAATACCTGAACAAATACTATGGGTGCCCAAAAGACAATTGCAATTTATTTGTACTGAAAGATACTTTGAAGAAAATGCAGAAATTTTTTGGGCTGCCTGAAACTGGAGATTTGGATCAAAATACTATTGAGACGATGAAGAAACCGCGCTGTGGTAATCCAGATGTGGCCAATTACAACTTCTTTCCAAGAAAACCAAAATGGGAAAAAAATCATATAACGTACAGGTACTGGCTAGCACTGTTGGTTGTTACGCATACGTATAACAATAGACTGCTTTTAAGAACCAATTAAATGGAGTAGTCAGATGTATGGTAGTGCTTGGTAGGCCACATAGGATTTCTTGAATGATTACCTCTGTGTTTGGATAACTACTGGATGCTCAAGCAAATACCTCTGAAATTTCAAATTGTAAAATTTAAGGAATAATAATCTAAAGCTCAACTTCATGGTTCTGGTTGAGAAAACGAGATGTTGGTTTTGTTCTGTGCTCTGCTGCAAGCATCCTGAGGGATCTGGAGCACAAGTACCCCACCGACCCGTCCGCTCAGCAGGGCAAGAGTATTTTGCAACTGCAGAGCATGTGTAGGAGGACCAACTCCTCTGTATTCAGCAGTCATGAAAACAGAGGTCATCAAACACTTTTTAAAATAGAAGAAATAACACTACTGCTCACTTACCAGTTGCTGTTGATTGGTCTCTCATGTTATACTTTTCAACAGTCAGGAACTAGATGAAATAAAATTCTACTTAAGTAACCAGCTGTAAATGAGAAATGGTCAGCAGCAACGGGAGTAAACACTGCTAAATAAACTGCAGGAGTTTATTAACTCCTCTAAAACTAACTCTTCATGTTAAAAATCTAACATCTAATCTAACCGAAAGACCTAATACTCTAACTACGTGAGGAACTTAAAAATTTAAAAAGAAGTAAAAAATGGTATATTCATTATGCCCATTATTCCTAACAGTTTAAAAAGTCTCATTTATGACCATAAAATTCTCTAATGACTAAGAGCAGTCAAGTTACCCCAGTTCAGTAAACAACTGTACTTACTTAATCTTGTTTCCATACTCTTGACTGTGGCAAGTACAAGGCATTTCAACCACCCATGAAATAAGGCTAGACTAACATACAACCATTCAGGGATTGAAACAGCCCCACATTGCCTCACACTTGTCACAGACTGAGCACATACGTATGACCACTAGCTATAGGTCAAGTAACATGCCTACTGCAATAGGTTTGACATGTTTTCATATCTTACTACTACCCTAAAGAATTAGGGACCAATATTGCTCTCATTGAAGTCAATAATAAAAAATCCCATTGGCTTAGGCGTCCAGGAACAAACCTTTAGCATCGGCGAGAGCAAGCAAGAGTAGATTTGTCTTAGCTGCTTTGCTTGGTCTGGTGCTTCTTTGCTAGTTACGACTCAAAGCATCCTGCGTTCTGCAACTAGTCTAACGGACTCTGACTGTCGGACTGCGGTCGCGCTCCAGCCTCCTCATACTGATACGTTCCTCTGATAACAATTTCCTTAGGCACAAAGTAGCTTCATTCATTACGTGCAGCAGCAGCAAAGGGTGGGAAGCTTCTCCTTAGAGGGAGGTTAGCTGGCTGCAATATAAGGCACTAATAAGTCCAACTAGAATACAGCAAGAAAAAGGAAGCAACGTACTTATGAGCTTGCCCCTCTGTCAGGTCAAGTCTACGACTTCCTCTTATGTGCTTTTGCCTTCTTCTGCTGCTTCCCTGTATTTTCTACTGGCAATGTAATTGGCACGCTGGTGAAGGATTAACATTCATTTACCATGAAACAATATACAGCTACCTAGGAAGGTGAGGGAGAAGGGCTGTTGTCTCACTAAAGAGCAAAACAATCCATTCTAGAAACCTTCAGAACTATATTGAACTCTCTTCCGACACAGAGGAGGCTCAAGCGCTCTGACAAATCAGGGATGTGCTTATATGTTCAAGTCTAAAATGTGAGCAAGACTTGCAAAGTCTTTAAAAAGTTTACGAAAATGTAAATCTCAGTGGAGCAAAAGACCATCAGGTGTTGTCTTTCTAGCACCTCAGCACTAATGTAAAATCCCAAATATTTTGGTCAAGGCATGCAAGGCTTGCACTGGCCTGCAAGTTTCACAGCCTCTGGCTATATAATCATTTTTCTTTATGCTGCTGTATCATTTTGAAGCAAAATAAACATTAAGTGCCACAAGTAAACACCCTTCTGGACCAGGGGAAATCTAGATCTTATATGCAGTGGTTTCACCTCTCAATCGGTTTCACAGGGCACTCTGCGTTTTGTTCAATAAGCCAGAAATACCGAGAGGGGGTTTACCTGTTGTTTAACTCTTCCTTTTGCCTCTAAGGATTATAGGTTATACACCAGATTTGGATCCCGAGACAGTAGATGATGCCTTTGCCCGAGCCTTTCAAGTCTGGAGTGATGTCACACCGCTGAGATTTAACCGAATAAATGATGGAGAAGCAGACATTATGATTAATTTTGGCAGATGGGGTATATTTTTCTATTTTTACATATGTTTTTGGTTTTGTTCCTTTCATTATTTCTCAGTACTGGAATGATCTACCCTCAATAAGCACTACCCGTGAGCCTTTCTGGCAAACCTTGTCCTAGTCTGCACTTGGCTCATACAGGATAAGATCTAATTTCACTAAGTTTTTTTTTTCTTTCTTATAATTGAGAGAGAGACAGAGAGAGAGAGAGAGAGAGTGAAATATTTATACAATAACCTTATGTTATATTTATCTTTCCAAAAGAGAATTGCTAGGGGCAACATCTTATTTTTAAATTTACCAATCAGAAATAGAACTGGGAAATATTGGTACAGATCTTCAGATGATGTGAACTGGCTTCCCTCCATGGAAGAGAGAGGAATGCCATCAGGCTCTTTATTTATAACTCTCTGCTCAGTTCTTCCAGAGTTAGTGGAAGAGAGGCTAACATGCTGGACCTTAAAAATGGATTTGTGACTTCCAGTTTTAACTCCATAGTTCATCTCTGCTCTTTAGCATAGCAGAACGAAGGCTTGCAACGTATTCTTTAGTCTTGAGGAATTTCAAAGTATGGACCTCAAACTGAATTCTGGTTTGGGTCCAGCTCATGATAGGTGACACAATTCATACTAGTTCTACATATCTTCCAAATTAATTCTAGTTTCTGCTGAAAGAACATATATAGTTTTTCAGTGTATACCCGGGGCATTTTAACTTATTATGGACAGCCACAGAATTTTCAGTACCGATGAAGATTCTTGTGCAGCTAATCACTTGGGAGGTAGACCTTGGAACTGAAGTGAATAGTTTGAAGAATAACTGAGCTCTGTGTAGAAGTCTCCATTTCAAGCTGGTTTTCTTCACTTTAACAACTGATGAGTTGACCTCAAAAGCTTCAGAGATTCTGTACAGTACTCAAAACTTCAGATCCTCATCCAGACTGGCTTGGTTCTCAAAAATGAACTCTTACAAAAGTAGAAGTGTTCCCGCTGGTTTTAGTATTTGCTGATTAGAGCCAGCTCAGAAACAGTGGGGAAAAAAGCTTCTTCCCCATTCAGTCGTTCTTATCACTTCACTGCATGTCAGATTCACAGGATTTGGGACTTCCTCAAGGTTATTCATTGCTAAGCTTTCTCTTAAGCAAAAAATATGCTTTGAAATGAATGCAAATTAAGCATGTAAATGTATGTTAAAAACTGGCCCTTGACAACTGACACATTAGCCAACTGAAATGAATAAACTAAACTAATATCAAGAGACCAACCCCAGCATGAAATCAGTGCAACAGAGTACAGAATCAGGCCTGTGTATTTAGGGCTTCTGTCAAATGGCAAGACATCAGACCAAAGGCCTGAAATGATGCAACGGGAGATGCTGGCAGCCAGCTTTGATGCACAGGTCAGTGCTGTGGGAAAGCTATGAATACTAGGGTTATGCCCTTGCCAGCCTGCTTTAGCCACATGTGGTGTACTTCCAAGAAAAGCCTACAGTGTAATAACAGGAGAGCTACTTAACATGCTGTTGCCCTGCAAGCAGGCTGAACCTCCGAGTGGTCAGTGGGGAGGGGGGACAAGCTCATTCACGGGATCCAAGGCACTGAGTAAGAGTCAGCCTTCCACAGGTTCACTACCGAGAAACACTCAGCCAATTTGCTTTCCTGCTTAAAGAAGTTGGTGCCCTATGCAAAGAAAAGAGAGCACAGCAGGCCGAGGCGTAGCTGCAAAAAGAGCAGCTGCAAAGGGAATCCTGTCTTTGTTTTCCCTTCTCTGTGTTGCAGCCTGGCATTAATTCTCTGAAAATACCTCTCATCTACAGTGTTTAACGTTGTGTACGCATTCAGACATCCAGCATACGATACTTTACCGGCCTTGGCTGCCTTTTGAGTCCCTCCCACAATACTTCGGATATATACAATAACATGGCGCGACAACTGCAGTACAGTCACTTAACGTTCTCTTTGTATGAATTGGCCTCTTCTCTTCAGGTTGGGGCTTGCCAGCCCAGCCCATACCAATAAACTCACTCACCAGAATATGCTGCTGCTATCTTGGATGGGAACAAGGGTGCACGTGATAATTAGCATTCGCAATTACATGCTGACAGAGCTGAGCTCATCAGAAATCGCTCTTTTTTTCTTTGCTTTCTCCTGCAGAACATGGTGATGGCTATCCATTTGATGGCAAAGACGGTCTCCTGGCTCACGCTTTTGCGCCAGGGCCAGGAATTGGAGGAGACTCCCATTTTGATGATGATGAACTGTGGACTCTTGGAGAGGGGCAAGGTATCAAACTTTTTAGTGTTTCTGAGCATATGGCCCGTTAACTGCTGTGTTTTAATGCCATTTCAGGCACCGCGCTAAATGTTTTCATTGACATGGTTTAAGTTATCAGTCAGTGTTATGGAAAATGTTACTACAGATGAAAATTAATTCTTGCAATTTAAATTGTTCTCTATAAAATGTTTATGTAATTCTTGCACAAGTTTTTCATAGGATTCCCCTTTCTGCTCCTCTCTTGTTACCCCTTGAAAAACAGAACTAATAATAGGCCTGACGCTGCACAACCTTAAGAAAGTGTGACAGAAGTACAAAGCTATGCCTATGGAGTGCCTCAGTTTTTGCGTACTCAAGCTACACCACCTTTAAATTCATTTGTAAAAGGCAGACTGCTCAGTGCTTTTCTGCAGACATACCCTTTTAAGGTGACTCAAGCTGTGACTCCAATTTTTAAAAATGGAACCAGCCACCTGAATAAGGATTTACACACTCATGGTATCTGTCAAAAACTACTGAATTACGAATCCATCATGCTGATGATTGAAACAAAGTCTACATCAAATAGCGGATTAAGGACTTCTCCCAAGAATCTTTAACAGGCAGGTGGCCATACCCTTTTCAAGGGAACAATTGAAATCCAGAGCATATCACTGAGATTAGGCAAATTAGACCAAGTATTAGTTGTTTGGGACCTATTTTTTCTGCTCAAGCTTCACTGCAATCATTTCTTACTAATAATAATTCTTTGTATTGTAAAATAATCTCCAAAACTTAGAATAAGAATGCAAACTCATGCTTGTCTTTCATTTCAAATTCCAGTTTTCTCAGCTCTCCTCCAAATTGAAAAAATAATTGAACTTTAACATCAAAATACTCATATTCTGTCTTGGGCTTTCTTTTAACTTTAGCAGAAGCACTGACCAGTAGCTGTAGTAATTGGGCTGGACCCTTGCCTCAAAGTCACAACGAACATGAGGAAACCATTCTCTGTATTAGTGGATGTACTGGACAAACGTTCAATTAGTTACTGCCATTAAAAAAATGCTACAGATAAGTAGATTGTCTGCACGCTAACATATATTATAGCACCAGTCCTGCAGTCTTAAGAAAAGCGTTTACATGTGACAAACTATACTAAACCCCGGGATCCAGGTGTGTCTGCGTTACCACCATATCCCCCAATGCAGCAGCAGATCTCATTCAAGTCAAATCGGAAATACCAAAGTGGTTTATGAGGCACAAGGCATATTCAGCTCACGCTCAAACTCCTGCCTGGAATCTTTCAAATTTTACTGAATATCTCAGACCACGTCACCAAAGAAGCTAAATTACTAAATATATTAACAGCATGTTTGTAAGTTTGCGTTGCTGTAGTAACGAAAACATATATTTTTCTGGGCTGAATTTAAGGACTGCTCATTCTAACAGTTCACAATGAGTAATATCCATGTAATTTCAAAATTACCAGTTATTATTTCAGCTATGATCACCTTGCCAATAGAGAGACCAGCAGAGTGTAGAATTTCAGAGTAGAAACCCAGGCTTCATTTCTATATCAGTGTCCTCCAGGAACTGGAGGTGGTGACTAGTCTCACCATGGCATCTGCTCTCTTTACAGTGGTTAGAGTGAAGTATGGAAACGCAGATGGTGAATACTGCAAATTCCCCTTCTGGTTCAATGGTAAGGAATACAACAGCTGCACAGATGCAGGCCGCAGTGATGGGTTCCTCTGGTGTTCAACAACCAAAGACTTTGATGCAGATGGCAAATACGGCTTTTGTCCCCACGAGTGTAAGTGGAACACTGTTTCCAAAGTTTTTTCTATAAGATTGCTCCCTCCTTATTTTTGTCTATCCACTTCTCCTTGTACTTTTTCACCTCCTTGATGGCAGATTTACTGCTCTTCAGTATCTCCTCAGTATCTGAACAGACCCCTAAAGACCCCTTCATAAAAAAGACTTTGTAATTGATGATGACCTGTGCCAACACCTTTCTCTAAAATCAAGGACGTGTTGAAGATATGTCTGAGGCAATGCAGGCCTCATATACACATGTAAGATGCTATTAGTTCAGTTTCACGATCTAGGAACTGCAGCCACCTTTTGGAGTAAGTACAGGGCCAAATATGGAGATGGAACACGCTAAGTTGTGGAAATGTCTCCCAAAATTGTAGGCCATTCCATTAACAACTGCATCTCCTTCAAGAGCAGCAAGTGGGAAAAAAAAACCCAAACAAACTATTATTTAAGGAAGGAACCCACTAAGCCAAAGTCTCTGTAACTTCACATTCAATATATGAGTACCATAGATTTTACCAACTGAGGGCCTGGGTCCTCTGCTTGAGTCCAGGAACCCCTTTTATTGCAAAGTGACACTATTATTGTCACACACCACCCTTGAAACGTCCTCTTACTGCTTTTCAAAATAAAAATGATTGGCTTTCAACTCAAAACCAATGTCGGTACATAGTTATTTATATACTGGTACATTGTAAAATTGCTAGCCAGAAAAGCACTCGCATTTTTAGAGTTTTGGTTTTTAACACATGCCTTAGGATTCTTTTACTGATGAAGCAGTTTGATTTGTTCACTTCAGATACAAGAATGACACAGTGTGTTTCAGAAGTCACAGCTCTGTATCAGTGGAAAAATGTTAGAGGGTTTAGAAAGCTGAGATCATAATTAATCTCCAGCTTTTTGACATGTGATCAGAATTCTAGGTTTCATAAGCAATTTATTTCGTATTTGGATTTATTTAGGAAGCACTCATTTACAGATGAGAATTTGTATAATGCTTTCATGTAGCCATAAGTTTTTTAAAATATGCATAATGTAATTATCTTGATAGTGAAATGATATGGCAACGTGGTTCCTTTTAAACATTAGGAACATATATTTATATGCTTGAAAACTTTGATGATGAGCACACTGGATATAAATTTTCAGACAATTAGTTGCTATGTGAGTGCTAATTTGGTCTCCAGTATATCATACAGCAAAAAACCTTTACAGAGACAAGTAAGTACAACAGGCAGTAGCTCACTGGGCTAATCTAGCAGATGGAAGATGAGAAGAGAAATAAGGGGCTTTTAGCCACTTATTCCATCTCCTGTTTGCCAACTTGAGTGCTGGCACCTATATTCACTTACATTCCCAGTACTGCAGTTTCCCACATCCAATTTTTTCCACTGAACGTAACTAATACTTTAAGCTCTTGGCAGCAGGGATTGTTTCATCATACGTTGCCCTATGTCCTGAGCAATGGGTCCACAGCGTCATTTGGAACTGCTACATGCTGCTGCTATGTCCTAATGAATAATAATACAGTTATGAAAGAGAATGGAGCAAACAACTGAACTTTTGCTGGAATCACGCTAACCCCACTTGGAACAATAGCACTAAACTTATTTATAATATCAAGGCTACATGCAGTCTGATAAGGACTTGCAGATTGCTGAAAGAAAATCAGCGATGCTTCAAATGCAAAGCTAACAAAACCAGACCAGCTTAGGGTTTGGCCAGACCAAGAACGCCTCAGAATAGCCCAACATGTCCCAGGCAAGCCCCACAGATTATGTATGTTAATATGTATATGACAATTAAATACTCATAATTTTTTGAAATATCATAGGCGTGCGTGCAAAAAGAGTTCAGCTACCCTGTCTTCAAAACTTCCCTGCTAGCCTACTGTAGCCAAACAATAAACAGATTCCTGTCTGAAGTTCATTTGCAAGACCGTATGGTTTCCAAAAGGAGATTTCAGTTTCTCTGCATCAGGATGCTAATGGTTTTCAAAGAAAATCTGTTGTAGAACATATCAGTCTTCTAGTCCTAACACGATAAAAAAAGTTCTTTAATTTCTAAAAATCTGATTGTCTATATATCACACCTACAGCTGGGACCTATCGTGCTGACAGCTACTTAAATGACTTACAGGGGATGAGCAAGCAGGAGTATGAACTTTTAATAGACTTGAATTTACTACAAAACAAAAACCTACATTACTTTGAGAACTAGTTCCTTTAGGCCTAACATTTACTTCAGGGAATTACATACACACACGCACCCACCCGCCATTTGTCACCTCTTCCACTCCCTGCTTTCCCCAAATCTCTTCTCCTATAGGATAAATCTTCCAGCTGGAAAACAGAAAAGATGGGTTTATTTCTTTAAAATACTTCAAATATTCAGATATTGTAGGAATGAAACCCAGATTATAGGGTAGCTGGACAAACAGACATTTCCATACTGTGGTTAATACCATTCTAAAACCCTAAGATCACACAAGACAAAACGTAAGCAGGGAGGCAGTGTCCTTTGTCAGGGAGTTATGAATCTGGAAGTTCATGTTCCTGGAAATGCTTGCATCAAGGCTTCTGAAACCCAGCGGATGCGTTTCAACCTTTGCTTGTGATGCAATTGTTTTGCAAGATCCTTGAACAGTTATGCACAGCTGTTTCTGATTAAATTCAGAGGGGTATTGTTCACTCATTATTCCAAGGCACCATTTGCTAAATCCTGCTCTTAAACACAGACAGGGCACATCATATAGGCTGTGTTTGGAGCAAGATTCATAGCTGCCAGTGTTTTTTTCTCTCCCCTTTAATTCACTTGGGTTAGTTTCCTTTCTTCTCTTGTTATGCAGCCACTGTGTACATTTGGCAATATTTTTAAAGCTACTGTATCGCACTAGGGTTTTCTAAAATTGATCGTAGATCTGCACCCCAGTCTTGTAGACTGCCTCAACTATCACTTGGCAAAGCAGAAGGCAGCAAAGAAGAAAGTTACTACCTGCTGCAGGCACCTTATGCAGGTGTGCTGAGCCTCTCCTGTGCCATCTGGGAGCCAGGGAAGTCGAGTCGCTCTCTCTTTACCGAACTCCGCTGACAGCGCAGGGAGTTTGGGCTCCTAACCTTGGCCCTCTACTATCTAAGATACTCATGTCTGTACTCTGCCTTACTCCCACAACCTCCCCTGCCAGAGAAGGACATTCACACTAACTAGCTGGTCACACATCACAGAGCGGTGGTTGGGGGTTTAACCCAGTCTGGTTTTCCCAGTTATGTCATCTTTAATATCAAGATGCGGAGTGAAGTCAGCAGGCTGTGTGGGACCAGCTCAGAACCCAGACAACGTCCTGAACAGGAGCAAAAGAAAAAGATGTTTCTTCCTCTGCAAGTCCCACAGCCCATATACCTCCCTGGCGGCGGTCGCAGTTCTTGTAGGCTGCTGCGGCTGCTCAACTGGCTCTCGCAGGCAGAGGCCTCCAGCAGATGCAGCTACCTCCACCTCGGACCTGCGCCAGACGGATTTTAGCCGTCTTCCAGCCCTGAGGTTTCCTTACACCGTGACTGGTTGATTTTTCTGGGAGAGCTAACAGTGTCATGCAGCTTACAGTTGAGTAACGTCCAATCTGAATCTGCTCTCACGTACAGCTTCACTAATTTTTAGGATGTGCAGCTGTTAGGCTGCAGAACAAGAGTCACACCCTTTCAGACTTCCTTACAAGCCCCTAAACCTTTTGTTTAGTTTTGGGAGAAACTGATCTAGTATCTTTCTTTAATTTTACTTTGCGATAAGGCAAAGAGTTTTCCAATTAATAGGGAGGAAAACTTTGAAGATCATTGCTGAAACACAGGATTGCGAGCATCACATGATGTTACCTCAGGCTAAATGAAAAAGTGCGTTTTGACTGTGACTCAGAAGTATTTCATGCAAAGCAATGAGAGACTGACTTTCCATACGGTTTTTTGCAACTTAGCCATGTTTAAACCAATAAAAAGGCAGCTATTAAAATACAGAGTTTGCCAGATCTAGAGCTGGAAGCAGCTCATGCGGCAAGTGAGTCATCTAAACAACTCAGCTTAATTTTGCTTTCCAATTCTATTATTAAAAAAAAAAAGTCTTTCCACGATCCATATAAACGCAGCCCTAGTTAATGCAGGTTTCCTAACTCATTACAGAACCTGGGATGCAAGCACAAAAATTTATACCATGCCTCTTTGCGGAAGCATAGTAAGACGTTGCCAGGTGTGTTGCAGTTATCTTGAGAAGCGCAGTTTTGCTGGCGATAGGATCTGCATGTGGTTGCTTCCATGTCCAGGATGCACAAGGACACAGAGGAGAGCTTGGCCAGATCAGAGGTTCAGCAAAATCATGCATGTGAGCCAGGCCCACAAGCTCCAAGTCCCCTCCTTAGTGCGACTGGAACTTACTTGAGAAACTTTCAAGTTCATGCCCCCAATGCTGTGGCCACAGCCAATTACTGATTTAAGTGAAAAAGAAGAGCAAAATGAATCATCTATGTGATGATACACCCATCGTCAGAGCCCTTTGAGGTCACCCTTCAGCCAGAATAGGCCTTGGGTCCTTATTTATTGCTACTCTAACAAAGTGGAGCAGGATCATAAACAGTGTCTCCTCCCAGCAGCATATCAGACTAAGCAAAGGAAAAAAGCTCCGAAATCCTACAGAGAGACTGGGGCTGCAATGACTTTTCAATTAACAAAATGACTAAAGTGAAGTTCTAAATAACCCGCCAAACCTTCCCACGTAGATGTTTGGGTTTTAGCTTAAGATTTAGACTGGGGGAAGGACAGGAAGAAAGGAGTGTCCCCTTGGGATGTAAGAAAACATGGCCAAATCATACATTTTTTACACTGGCAATCAAACAGATGTGTTTCATTCTGAGGTGCTGTTCTTAATTGTCAAGAACTAGCGTACAGCCTGCATGGAGGATTTCTGTTCTCGGTTCAGCGAAAGGCCTGGCCTGTTATGTTGTCCCAGTCGTTTGCTCTCATCTGTACATGGCACTCAGGAACAGTCCTACCATGGCAGATACCAGCCAATACAGCAACCAGGAGAGGACAGCAGCCAGGTGATTCAAGAGAGTTACTTTCAGATGCTCTGAGCCAGCTATGTTCCCAAATGATTCAATTTGGACATCAATTTTTTTTAGAAAAATAGGCCTGACTGATTTTATTCCAGAAAGTTTATTGAAATTCTAAGATAGACAACAGAACTCTTCTCTCAGTTTATTCTACGCTCCTTCTTCCATGAGACGTTTGTGGTGGTCAGGGATGAATCACGGGGCCTTGTTTGTGTGTGGGGGGAGAAAACAAACAGCCTCCAGAAGAGCAACAGCCGCTGTCCAAGCTCACTCCCTAAGCAAGAGGCAGGAGGAGCTGCCCCTGTGCAGCTCTGTCGCCGGAGTGATATTCGCACTATCTTCCTATCCAGCCAGTGTCCAAGCGCAGCTGCATGGACTCTCAAAAATGCAGAGCAGAGCCTAGGGAAAAAGCCTATAGGGTGTATTATCTTATTCTGGCTTTATTGTATGTCAGCATCTTAAAGAAACAGAGCAAATCTAGGCAAGACAGCCATTAGGAAAATTGATCTAAGTTGTCCCTGGTGCTGTATAAAAGTTTATGATCCTACTTAATATTTGTGATGCAAGGTAAACTAACCAGCATAACACGAAGGAGCGTGAGTGGCTTCCTCAGAATCCCCTTTGTAAACGTTGTTTCAGGAAGGGATATTAATTTTATGTTATGAGGCAGGCTTATTATAAGGATTTGCACAATTCAAATCACATTCGCACAGCTTGGTAGGATTTTCTTTGTTCCCAGCTCGTTTATAAAGATGAATCAGTCATTCCTCTCTATACTTCTTTCCCTGCTTGCAAGCGAGACGGTAACATCCCCTGTCTATCTTGCCAAAGCGTTTTTGCTCTAAAACATGTGTGAACAGCACAGCGCGCAAGGGATATCTAATATAGCTAATATCTCTTCCCAACACCGGCAGCACATCCCGATCGCTCATCGATACGGAGCGCTCGGTACTGACAGTTGCTATCTCCTTTCCCCCGCAGCCCTTTTCACAATGGGCGGTAACGGCGACGGACAGCCCTGCAAATTCCCCTTCAAATTTCAAGGCAAGTCCTACGAGCAGTGTACGACAGAAGGCCGGACAGACGGGTACCGATGGTGTGGCACTACCGAAGACTACGACAGAGATAAGAAATACGGATTCTGTCCCGAGACTGGTAGGAGGAGTTTTGCTTTCGTAACACAGTCTCATTCGCCCGCGCTCTCGACAACCCAGCTCTCCCTCCTTGCACCTTCCCCAAAACATACCAAACGTGATGGATTAGGCACAGTTTCAGCATAGGTGGCCAAGGAAGTAACCAAAGCGGCAGTGGCCTACGTAAAGGGCACCGTATGCCGACGTATACCAAGTTTATCAGGCATGCACAAATGCCTCTGAACCATAGGACTAAAGGTCTATTCCTGCGGGATAATTGCAAGCAAGCCACCATTTTTTAATGGCCCTGGAAGAGAAGCCTCATATTAGAAAAGAAAGTGGGGAGGATATTTTAGCTTATAATTGTCAATGAGTAATACTTAACATTTACACTTGAACAAAAACCCTGCTTAGTATGATAAGGCTGAGTTATTAAATCTGTCTAGCTGTTCAGGAAAGCTAAGTGAAATGGTTTCTCCAGGAGAATAAGATTTCTGCTTTCTTCACAATTTTTCATACTTTAAACTTAATTTTTACTACATAAAGGAACAAAATTAATTTATAGCCACGTATAGCTTGGCAGGTAGCACATTTTAAGATGCAGACTAGAGCAATAGTTATTCATTTAGACTTCATAAATTACCTATTGCAGTTCTACAATCGCGGCCTTTTAACGCAGCCCCGGTGAAGCTCGTTTCACCCGCGCAACGGCCGGGCTCTGCAACGACGCTAGCCGAGCGGCGAGCAGAAGCACCCCATTTTTGGAGCCTTTTGAAAATGCCCTAACCATTTCAAATGGGGATTTTATGCATTTTGGTTTGACTTCCTGTTCCCTCTGACGTTCAGTTGTAACTCTTCAATTTTACCTTACAGAAAATTAGGAGGGAGGGAGGGAGGGAGGGAGAGAGAAAGAGAGAGAGAGAGAGAGAGAGAGAGAGAGAAAGGATCGAGCTCATAGAGTTGGACAGAGTAAAATCTACATGATAGTTCAACAAGGAAAAGAACCATTACATTGAAAATCAGTACGTTAAAGCTCCAAAACTCCTACATAACACAGTCTCTTTCACTGAACACACTTAAGCTTAAGTTTTTTCAGCATGAAAGGTTACCTGAGGTAGCTGTGTTCATCTTTTATTTCTACCTGATAAATAAATTAATAATAATGAATGAGAAATAAATATTTTTTCCCCTCCCAAATATTACTTTGACTCTTGCTCTTCATGTTCTTAAGTGGATTTCAGACTTTCCGCTTGCTTTATGTACAGTTTAGGAGAAGATCCACCAAACGCGATTCCCTTCTCCCTGTATTTTCCCATTGTTTTCCACAGCGATGTCAACAGTTGGTGGAAACTCGGAGGGAGCACCTTGCGTATTCCCTTTCGTTTTCCTTGGAAACAAATACGAGTCCTGCACAAGCGCCGGTCGCAACGACGGCAAGATGTGGTGTGCTTCCACCAGCAGCTATGACGATGACCGCAAGTGGGGCTTTTGTCCTGATCAAGGTAAAACCGTTTGCCACAGCAATACGCTGATGACTGTGTATCGACCACATTGATGATATCACGCTCAGCATGTTTTTATTGCCATACTTATCTAACCTGACCAGTTACATTGCCCCCCTCAACCCTCCCCACAAGTATCTGAGCGAACACCCTACCTTTAAACACGAAGGAGGTATTAGTTAAACAGCCAGTGCCAAAGCTCCTCTACCTGATAATTATAATTTTGGAAAATGTAAATGTAAGTATATCTTTCTAAAATACAAACACATTTTTTAAAAAGGCAAAGAAAAATGTTTCTCTCACCACCAGTTTTTCCCCTAGCAGGCCAAAACCTACAAGTACTGCAGTATTTCAATAGTTCATAAGAATTAGACTGTAATATTGGCCAACCTAGGAACAAGTGCTAAGTGTAAAAATCAATAAATGTATTCATGACTGATATTGACAAAGAAAATATTAAAAAAGAGAAACTTAAGTCTGCATGGCAAAAATGAGTATTTAAAGTTATTACAAATAAGGGCAAAGAATAACTGAAATGTAGGTAAAGTTAAATAAAGCAAAAGGCTTTTTTTCAGACATTTATGAACAACTGCTAAATTCAGGCTTCTGAATACGAGTATTTGCCCTTTTTCTTTTATGAGTGATAATAACTGCCATATTTCAGAGACTTGTCTGTTCGGGGATAACTGATAAAATGTTGTCTTATGATAAAGTAGACTATTTTTAACCTGTTCAGTATGATAGTACCAATTCACGCATTGTTCACGGAGAACATAAGATACGTTGACCTGTTTAACACTTAGATGCTATTTCATGAAACGAAACAAGATTTGAGGTCTAGACTATAGTTTAATTGTTCTGTGCTTTAAAAAAAAAATGTATTATTTGATTTACTTTTTTTCCCCCTCACAGAAGAACTAAGACAATGGTCAAAGTCACTGTCATGGGAGACAGTAACAAGCCCATACTGACTACACAAGAGCTCTTGGAATACCTCTATTTCATGAAATGTCATTTCTGGCAACATGTATGACATGAAACTAGAGGGTATACATATTAATTATGATGTATTACAGTAAGATGTTTATTATGAAGAGATTTTTGATGGATAGTGAGGAAAACAAAATGAGAATACAGCAAATAACCTGTGCAGTACATTTTTAAATTGTTGTGTTACTCAGGATACAGCCTCTTCCTGGTTGCCGCTCATGAATTTGGCCACGCCATGGGGTTAGAGCACTCCGAGGACCCAGGAGCTCTCATGGCCCCAATCTACACCTACACCAAGAACTTCCGACTTTCTCAGGACGACATTAAAGGGATCCAGGAGCTATATGGTAACGTCTTTCTTTGTCAGCTGAATTCATCAGAAAAACAGACAGCACAGGCTGAATTTGGGGATTCAGGACTTGCAGTAAATTTCACACTGATTGAAATATCACAGGCGACAGAAACATTCCCTGTTCCTTTCCCCACCTCCTTCATGTTATTACCAGGGCTCCTATTTCTTACTATAACACAATTTAAGGATGAGGAGTCACTAAATCTACTGAATTAATGGAAGCCCTCGAACTCCTTTGATTAATGTCAAACCTATAAATGAAAGTTTCTAATGCCTTTACTGGGCCAATGAAATGCTGTGCTTTTCCCTTGCTTGAACTACCAGGTGTGGGTGTTTAGGTTGACATCACTCTGAGCATCCCAGATTGCATCTCTGGGCAAGAGAAGGGCTTTGTTTCCTGCCCCAGCTGGAAAATCCTTCACCCTCCCTTCCCACAACAGTTCAAGCTGTACAGTCGCAATAACATTTGCAGATAGTGTGTGGGAGCTGACACTTGTGTATAGATGTGTTTGGCAAGCTCCAGGGGAAGAAGTGGGTTTAAGAATTTTTATGTTGGTGTATCTTTAAAATTTATTATTTTCTCTACAGACACTCTTAGTAAAATGAGTGGGAATTATGATCAAAATTCATTCCATTTCTTTACTTCCCACCTTGTAGAGCACAAGTATACTATAGTCTATGGAGCAGTCTAGGAAAATCTATACCATTTCTGTTTGTATGCTTTTCACTTTTCTACTGAGATATCTCCCTAATAGGATGTGTCTACGTTCTACTGTACTCAACATCCTAGAACTGATAACAAGTCAAAACGATTACCAGATTTAAAAAAAAACCACAAACTTTTATCAAGAACCTCATTTGAGTCTTCCCTTTTCCTTTGTTCTTGGGCGCTTTAATTAAGACGAGGAATTGAGATGCGGGCAAGGTTAAGTGAGTTTTCTAAGCTCACGCAGCATATCTCCGATAGAGCTCAGACTTTAACGCAGGTTTCTGAAGTCACAGTTCAAAACCCAAGGCAAAACTATTTTTCTTGCTGCTTTATAACTGAAATAACCCTTTAGAAGCAGCTCTCTGTATGAAACAAATGTTCAGAAAACTTTGTTTTCCTTCACTATTCAAGATTAACTTGTACCGGCTATACTCACATTTTGTTCAATTAAAGTACATCAACCTGACGTCTAAGAAGCCAAATGCTTCATAAGGCAACACAGCAGCAGCCAAATAATAAACTAAAATAAAATAAACCAGATGGCAAAGTGCATGCACATTTGATTACTGATGAAGGCAGAAAAAAAACACACAATCACCTCAAAATGTACCATTAAATACTGTAAGCTGTTAGCATTTCTAAAAAGAAGAGAAATCCACTTTGATGTCTCTCTCAGCTGAGGCGCACATAATTCTGAATAGAGAGACATCAAAGTGGATTTCTCTTCTTTCTAGAAATCAGTTTAAAAAAAAAAACACACACACTCAAGGTTAACATTTCAACCAAATATAGTCACTTCTGAATGTCTTTGAAGTTAAATAGGCAGCTCAACATGGATAGGAGGGAAAACAAAGACACAGAGATGTGTCTTGAATGAGACCACCCAGCCGCATAGGGCCAGCACTCGAATCTAAGGCCACCTGAGCTATGCTCTACCACCCTGCTTCAGAGAAGATTATATTGTAATTTTTTTTCCTTTGAAGTATTGTCTCCAAAATATTGCCCTTCCATAAATTCTGATAGTTCACGTTACCAAGGAGGCACCATATTTCAGACTTACAGAGTATTTCTGTTCACCGTTGCAGAAGTATCGACTGACGTTGAACCAGGGCCAGGGCCAGGACCGGGGCCAGGCCCTCGTCCAACCCTTGGACCTGTCACTCCAGAGCTCTGCAAGCATGACATTGTTTTTGATGGAGTTGCACAGATCAGAGGAGAAATATTTTTCTTCAAAGATAGGTAAGTGAGATAATTTGCTTACTGATGTGGCCTTGGGTGGAGGTCTCTGTCAGACCTATTTGTCAAAACCTAGAAAGTTATGATCAGGCACAATCTCTGCCCTTTCTTCTGCGTGCTTACAGAAAACAAAGTGTCCTAATCAACTCCTACAGGAAGGAGATGACAAATTCTGGGCTTATTGTTAAATAATAAGGAAAAAGATTGTTTATGTCAACTATCTCACCTCTTCCTAATTAAAGGCAATGATTAGGCCTCAAATTCACCTTTTCTTACAGCTATACTCAAACTTTTTTGAGATTCTGGAACATTCAACTTCACTCATTGTTTTAGGCAGTTTTATGCTGGTTTTTCATTTCTGGTTTCTGGCCTACACTGGGATTGCTCATGCCAAGATGCTATGACAACAACTGGGCTGGTGGTAATTCTGGCCAAAATCAGAACAAGGAAATGCCTGAAACCTCACAAAAAAAGCCTGCTCTCATGATATTTTCAGCCCAATTTTGCAGACTAGAGAGCCAGAATTACCCTTGATGTCAACATGCTGGCTTCTGTGGAGTCGCACCAGGGCTGCGACCAGCTCAAAAGGGTCAAGTAGATGGGAGAAGCGTCCAAACTTCTAAATGCTTATTTAAAACAGATCTAACCCCCGAATCTTTAGAGGTTTACCCATCTGCAACGTTAATCATAACATTAGTGATGGAAGAGATGCATTAGTTAGTCTATTCTCTGCCAAAGAAGGATTCATTCCCTATAAAATATTTCCAGATGCCTTTTATAGCATAAACTACAAGAATTGTAATTCAGCAATGGAAATTTCATCACTTGCAACGGAGTGGAGTTCTGGAGGCACTGTCCTTCCGGATTTCATTCCTATAGTCTGCACTTATTCTACATACTGGTGCAAGCTTTGAGGCCAACTGCAGGAAAATTAGACAAAAATCTCAATAGCAATTTCTAAAAGATCCCCCCAAAAAGTAATCATCCAAAGCTAGTGGTAATAACCCCGAATGTCTGTTCCACCCTGGGGACACCGCTTAGCAAAACTGCAGTGCAGAGATTATGATGGTTTGTCTGGTCTGAAGAGGATCTGTTCTTTTCCCACATTCATAAAGAAACAATTATGCAAATTTCTGGAAAAAAATCTTGTCCCTGACTGCTTTAATGCAGGTTGAGTTTGAAATCATTCAATAATAGCATCATGTGATGCAAGGTTGCTGTAATGACAGACACCTCAAGGACACTAGTGGTTAGGACAGGCCCCACGTGTGTGAGGGCTCCAAGGCAGCCCACCCAAACAGCGATTTTGGTGCAAGGGTGGAGACTGCCCTGACAAAATGAGCTGCAGCTCCCACTGTCACTGCCAGGGCCTGTATTACCCAGTAGCTGCTCAGCGATGTAGAGCATCTCCCGATGCTCTTGGTAGCACCATAGACACTACAGCTCCTTTTTTCCCTGCCATAAATCAATGCTAGATCTTTAATCCTCCACTACCCAAACATTCCCATTGTAGATGAATGAAGATCTGCGACAACTGTGTGTGCCCACATGAAACACTATGTCCTAACACATAACAACAACATTTACAAGCAACTGAAGCTGAGGAAGTATGAGATCTCCCGCATTCACTGCTCCTCACCATGCCCCCTCACAAAACACCATTTCTGAAACCAGCAGTTTAACAGTTATTTGTATCTGCAGGTGGTATAACGTCTAGCTATCTCCTCCAGATTTTAAGTTTTCAGCTGGAAGATGTGAAGGATTTATTACTATACTGCATGGTTTAATTCCACCCACTGGCTTTTCACACAATGAAGAGTCAGGGGCAAGTATGGATAATTTTACAGTCCCTGCTACAAAGCAATTTCTTGGATGCAATTACTTCTGGTTCCTCTCTATGTGACACCCAGATAATGTGCTCTGGGTTTGAAATTTGACTTAATCTTTATTGCAGACATTGTGTTCTAGCAATGGAGAAACTGTGATTAAAAAGCCCTGATTATAAGAATATAATGTTCGCCATTTCTATGACAGCTGCTAAGGGCAAAAAGGATTCATTAAACACATCTATGTGGGGACACTTCTGATATCTCTGGTACTATTACCCTCAGCCCTGTCAGCAGGCAGCAGGCTAGGATTCCTTATAATCCAGTGATCCATAATGGCAAAAAAGAGTCCTTTTTTGGCAAGAAATGGCCCCACTGTACTTGCAACTTGGGATCACAGAAAGCCAACACTGGACAGCGCCACCAGGGAGCTGCCCAGAGCTGGCCCCAGTGCACCAGCCTAAGCAGTTTGCCCAAAGCAGGGTCCACTGCTGCTACCAGTGTCATCAGAAAGCTAAAGTCTTCGCTTTGGCTCAGTGCCTCAAAATATTCTCACAGCAGTAAAAAAAAAAAAAAAAAGTTTTGTGCAGGTTTCACATTATTCACAGCATCCTGACCATCCTTTGCTCAGATGGTCAGGGCTTTGCTGTTCAGCCAGACTGCCACCCTGCCTCTGCTTTCGTAAGCTGGCAATCACATAGGACCCGATTCAACAGGTCACAATTTTAAATCTATTCCTAAATCAGGAAAGGCGTTCAGTATTTTCTATAATCCGAACCAATTAAAAGCATTTCACATTCAGGTACGGTGGGTCAAAGGACTATGTAAATACTAGAACAGCCTGTTCAAACTGACTCATGCTTTACGCGAACATTCAGCGAAAGCAGGCAACAGTTCTTTGTTTTGCTTTGGATTTGATTTGCCTATGAGTTTCTCAGCTTTCCAAATATTAGGGAAGCAACATTATGACTCACTATTGGAATTAAAACAAACATCTGTCATGTGCCGTGTGACTTGTATGGCTCATCTGCCTTAAGAACAAAATTGACCACAGCACCCAACTGTCATGCTAGAGAGGCATGAGGGCTAAGGAGCAAGAAGATCAGATCAGAGGAATTCTACCAAAAAAGTGTTTTCACCTCCCCTCTCAAATCACATCTCAAACCAAGAAAATAAAAGGGGAATTCCTGTAGGTGCTATTAGCCATAGAGAACAGTTGACAGCCTTGCCAATGAGGATGCACTTCGTCAAGTGATACAGTGCCCAAATACAACATTTGCACAGAAGATTTTGTTCTTAAAGGCAACAAAAATCTAAGCTTCTAAAGTTTCCCAGCAAATTAAAAACAACAACAACACAGATTCAGTCCTTTTACATGATTGCATTTGTTAATGTTGGAAAATCTTGATTATATTAAAGCATAATTTGAAATCTTGACTGTAACAAAGAATGAAATCTGTCTAGACATGTTACTTAACCTGATTTAAAACATTTTAAAATTTTCAAAGTGAAAGAAAGTCAAAATAATTAATTTCAACATTTTCTCAACACAATGAGCAGAAACCAAAATTCTCCTACGCCATTTTAAAACAAAAGAATTCAGTTTTGACAAAACTTCCCTTTTCAGAAGACAACTTCACCATTTTAATAAGCCTCATGAAATGTGTGCTTTCATATAAAACCTGCCTTCAGCTCTCTGTTGGCTCTGGAAAATTTGGAGTCCCTGCAGATAGTAATTATTAGTGCTGATTCAGCCATAAATCAGATCCAAACTTGATCAAGAGCTACTTTTATTAATGCAGTGTTAGAGAGATTTGTTACATGGATTTCCATTTCATAGCATATTGGATCCATTTTTCTGTCTAAAAAGTCATGCGTGAAATACATTTTATCATTACCTTTTACAGCCTTTTTATATATGTTTAAACATTGATATGAGTAAGAGTAATTAGCTAAATGCATTACTCTTTGCCTCTTTTTAATATAAAAACCTGAGATACGATCAGAGATATTTTTGTACATGTTAAAATACATACATATATGCAAAATGAGAATGAGTTAATATATTACTATCTTAGTTATGATTACCCTATGTCAGGTTAAATAAATATTCATTTTTAATTAAAAAGGAGACAAAAATAATGCATTTTGCCAGGTGCACTAGTGAACAAGCACTACAGCCTATCATAACTGAATACGTGGCAAATAATTATACTTGCAAATGTATGTTTCAGAATGTTTCATATGTCCCAGCTAATTTTATTTGTTCACAGTCAGATTCTTATTGATGATAATACAGTAATTCATTAAATTAATTCAGATTCTTGGGATCCCCCAAGTTTTAGCTTCAAATCCTAGGTTTCACAAAGGAACAATGATTCTAGGTAGGAACAGGTAACACCTACTCATACTTCTCAAAAACTAAGATGCCAGTAGTATCTTGAGCTTCGGCAACATGCAGGACTTAATGATTGAATAATATTAGTATAAGCTGTTTGACCCGAGGCTTATTTAATAGCTCCAGCTTGGTGAGAGAGAGATTCCACTGCCTCGTTGGTTTTTCATTTTATGAAATTGGCAAAACTTTTATTCTGTTGAGGAAGAAAGTTGTTCGTTCTTTGGAGGAGGAAATAACAGTGCCCTTTTAATAGCAAAACCCCTCAGCACAAAGCTCTGCCATTTAAAGATAATTACAGCTTTTTAAAGCTTAAATCAAATGATGATCCTGCTTATACATAAAATAGCCAATAAATTACCCTTTGCATTTCTCTAATGAACATTTTTAGTGCTAGCAGTTCCTTTTACAGCCAAGCTTACTTCCAGGCTGTTTGATATACTGTTATTAAATTTGAACTTTTACTCACTACAATAGTAATTGCAAGAGCAATTCACAGAATACAAATCTCTGCTTCTGTCAAACACCCATCCATCTGCTGCATACGCAACAGCAGGAGACCTCTAATAGTTTAAATGCCTTGCAAATGAGTTTATTTGTATAATCGAAACACAGGATACATTGTGCTCCGATGCAAGAAGCAACAGGAACGCCAAAGCAATCAGTGCAATCGGCGTCAGCAATTTCCCCGGTGGTCCGGCACGCAGCGCGTTGCGCTGCAGTACCGTGCTCCTCAAAGAGCCGTTGGCCTTTTCAGTCACTACAGGAAAACAGATGCGAGTGTGCACTGCTGCTAGGCTGCGTGCAAGCGTGCGTGTGCACGCGCACGCGTGTGTGTGGCCTTTGCCAGAAAGGATGAGAAACAGATGTGCTGGTGAATTAGTTCTTTGTAAAGCTCGTACAATCTTCTGTTCGGCTCAGATTCATGTGGAGGACTGTGAACCCCCGAGGTAAACCCACAGGTCCGCTGCTGGTGGCTACGTTCTGGCCTGACCTGCCTGAAAAAATTGATGCTGTCTACGAGGCCCCTCAGGACGAGAAGGCTGTGTTTTTTTCAGGTACTGGCTTGACAGTTTAAAACGTAAGTAGTCATGCGTAGAAACGCTATGTTCAAACTCAGCTCCTCGGAAGCTGTGCCTGGGCCAGGGAAGTGCCTGCCTGCGAGCGGTACAGCCCGGCAGACCCTAAACATCCCCCATGGAGGATTTTAGAAAAAAGGCTGGATCTGAAAGACTTTGAGCAGCATTCAGTCTCCACTCTACCAAAGGGCACTTAAGCACCTGGAAAGATAAGTTCAGCAACAAGCAGGACTAAACAAGAATTATTATTCAATGCAAAAAGCAACCCCAAACCAGCAATGGAAGCTCTGTTTTCTCATGCAGCGCTCTGTTCTTCTTTCTTCTCCTCTCATCCTAAGCTATCATCTCCGCACGCACTGCTTGAGAAGACAAGGTGTTCTTTCCCCGTGCCTTTCCTCGTCTTCTCCCCCTTCGCCAAAGCGTGACTCCTGCTCGGAGCGCGGGCTCCGCAGGAGAGGCTGCGGCGGGCGCCCTGGCTCGCTCGGCGCCAGGTCAGGCTACCAGGAGGCAGCTTCCCGTCCGCCAGGACTTGCACATATGGTTCAGCTCTACTGGCCAAATCAGTGGAGCTGGGAGGCTGTTTGCAATGGCTGAAAAACTGAGCCAGCAAAAACTGGACTCCAATATCCACTAAAAACATGACTAAACATCTCCAACCATGTAAATACCATATGGCTGGGGCTGCTGTACACTTTCTGAACAGGAGGAGAAGAAAAGTAATAATCTATCCCACATGTCTGAAAGGCCGTTTTCCTTACTTTACGTAGTAAAACAAAATAAAAAAAAACACCTCAAAAATCCTTTATTTCGGCCAAGTAAAAACACTAAATATTCCATTTATTATATATATAAGCCTAGTGCACCTGCATCTCTATCTCCCTCTGTCCCTTTCTCTCTCTCCTTCTCTTTATATTTTCGAGGAAAATATAACTAAAGTGCTTTTAAAAAAATTAAAAATGAGAACTATCAAACAATCAAAGACCGGTTGAAAGTAACCTGCAACCTAACTATCCTAGAACACGTTAGTGAGATCCACCCTTTGCTCCTGGATGATCAAACCAATAACTCCGCAGAACTCTCTGCTGCACTTCGCACCTTGCTCACATTAAATACTTTGCTGTCAGATCCAACTTCCATTGAAACCAAGAGAAATTCTTCGGGAACGTGATATAGAACCAAAGACATGTCCTTTCATGGATGAATCTTTCCATGGCTTTCAGTGAACCCAAGAGTGGTGTTTACTAAATAAATTACAATTCCATGTAAAGAGCACAGAACCAGACCTCTTCCACTAGCACATATTTGGAAGCACATTAGAAAACGTTGTACAGCAGAGGCCAAGAGAAGCAGGGAGTCCAAGCAACAGCTTCCTATTAATTGGTCAAGAATATTCTTGACTAAAACCATGGCTATATAAAGGGGCTGAGCACGAGCTTCTGCATTTGACCTTCAGGTGCCCATGCATGGTTTATGACCATCTCCATCATACGGAAAATTACTGACATCATTTCTTTTACAATAACTGCAAGTGTACTTCTCTTGCAAGGAGCGGTATGTTAGATGAAGACAGGCTCTGCCTCCAAATGTTCACAAAAATAACTGAGACAGTTGAGAAGCAGAAGAGGAAGCAAAAGCACACAGAGGTGAAGCCATTTGCTGAGAGGCAAGCAGCAATTGGGAAATAACACCAGTAACTAATTACAGTATACCTGCACTCTAAGCCAGGGCTTCACCGATGGTAAAATGCTAGAAAGACTAGTAATACAATCAGTGTGATAAAAATTCCCGTAACAACGTATAAGAGAAGAAATATTCCTCTGTGTCTGACTACTAAACAGTGTTTGTTTGCTCTGTTTCTCCCCCGCTTAGGAAACGAGTACTGGGTTTATTCAGCCAGTAACTTGGACCGGGGCTTCCCAAAGAAGCTCACCAGCCTGGGACTCCCCCCTGACGTGCAGCGCGTTGACGCAGCCTTTAACTGGGGCAGAAACAAGAGGACGTATATTTTTGCTGGAGACAGATACTGGAAGTAAGCTACATCACAGCGGCGGTGGTCTGCCCTTAGCCGGGCTCGTCCCTCTAGCGCTGAACGCACGCTCAGGTGCGGCAGCAGGGAAGCAAACATGGGGGTTGCATCCTTTGGCAGCCCAAAATGAAGGCTGCCAGCACAGTGCTGAGGGCAGCGGTGAGCGAGACCGCCGAGCCCGACAGTATGGCTAGGAAAGCACTTCAGACAACAGCATGTATTTGAGAAAACAGCTTGTAAGGGAAGAGATGTGTGTGCATCTCTCTGCAAGGCTGCTCACCATTAACAGCTCATCTCTGGGAGCACATGTCCCAGCTGCTGCTCCCTGCCAGCCCCAGGCTCCCTCGGGGCAGGTGTCTCTGCTGTCAGCTCAGTCACTGCTGGACTTTTTAAGAAACGGGCTGATCAGTGAACTCCAGAGGCCAAACCCAACCGGTCTGCCTTTGAAATTCTTGTGCTAAGCCACCAGGCTTGAGGTGCTGGATGCAAAAGCAGACACCACCGTGCCCATCAGTGCGTGCTGGCGCACCAGTATTCCCTTCTGCAGCTGACCAATACATCACCAATACATCTGCTCTACTAGTACAGCTCGTCCCAAGGAGATCCAAACAAACCGCAAGAAGTGCGTCTGTTAGCACTTTGGAAAATTTTGGACTGAATTCATTTCTACAGCCTCTACAGTCCTTTTTAAGTTTTGAGTACAACCTCAGGCCAGTTTTGTTGCAAAGAAGTCCACAAATACATATAAAGATGTATCTGCACCAATGTTCCTGTTTGAAAGACTATGAGAATCAAAACATGATGCAACACAAGCAACCAAACTCACATCATATTAAAACAACTCTTGCATTGCCGCGGAGCCTAGAAGCCCTCATCAACACAAGATCTACCTGTGTTAGAGTAGCACTTAGTTAGTCAGCACTTCCACCAAAAGCTTTATGCTTTAGATAGGCAAAGTGGGCAAAGGCCTATTTTATTAAAAGAAAAAAGGTCCACAGGAATTTAGTGACTTAACTATGGCTATACAGGACTCTCCAGCAGAGCTAGGTACTGAACTGCATTTCTCTTTTATTCCACGCATTTCAGCACAACTTTGCTGGCAGATAACTTGCTATGAGAACCTGTTCTGTACAGGAAGGATATCTGACGCAAAGATGAGGAAGGAAGGTCTTTAAAATGCCTCAAGTCTATCAGGGTGGTAGAATTAAATATCCTACGCTGACCTAAGGAAAAGTGTAAAACAACATATGTAACAGAATTGCATGATCCTAACCAGCAGGAAGATTTGGCACAATATATCATCTTAAAACGCACACACGTGCTTAGGTGCTCTGATGAAGGGAGGTGAGCTAGCCCAGAAGCGAGGCTCCAAGCCCGGGTTTGCCACCAGAAGCCCCTGTCAGGAGCAGGGCTTCAGGCCAGCAACGCAGACGTTCATCGACAGGCTGAAAGTAGAATTGTTCGTTAACTGACAGTTTGGAAGTGAGTTAAAATATATATATATACACACACACACAGATATATATATATAAAATATATATATACACACACCTCTCTCTCATTATCAGAAACACCAGCCAGAAATCTTAAAGATTCTCCAGGCTTTTAGGGCCCCTTTTCAGAGAGATGCTATATCAATTATCAAGGAGGTGTCTGTTTAATTGAGTCCATTTTCTATGAACAGTCATTTCTTATATGATCATATTGGATGAGTGTCTTTTTTATATCCTAATGGCAGTGGATTCCTGTAAGTAAATAAAATATCCTTTCACAGTTACCAACTGATCATAATTTTCTTTCAACTTTGACAGCACTCTTTTCCATTATCTAAAAATATATATATATAAAAAGAACTTAAAACCTAAAGATTGTTATTCATTTTTAATGTCATATTGTAGAGCTGATCTTGTTGGATGTTTTCAAATAGTTTTAATAGTCATTTGCAATAGCTGAGATTCCTACCAAAACCTACAGACCATGAGTTCGCAAGCTGCTGGCCTCCTCCGTTCCAGCCACTGTTTGGATTAACCGTACTCTGGGGCCTCCAATTTATCTCTCTAATCACAGAAAGCATTTTTATCAAAGTACCTTATCAATTGCAGTCACTGCAGAATGCATGATTTATTGTTAAGAAACCAAAGTAACTTTAAGTGATATCTATCTGTTTAGAGAAGAAAGCAAGCAGTTGACAAATATCTGAAGAAAAATAAAAAGCATGAGTGTTTAACACAGACATCACAACCCTTCAGTATGTGGCTGTTTTATTTTACACAAGGGCTCTGCCACATGGAATCAAAATAGTTTTATACCATAGTCCTTCCCACGTCATTATCGCACATACTTTATTTAAATAGATATCTGGAAGCCTTCTACTCTCCCTCCTTCCAGCCCCAAGCTATTTTACTGTCATCGTAAGCAAAGTAAAGGTATGTGATGGAGAGGAAGAGGAGCTGGCTCATATTCCACAGCTGAAGTTTTACAGATACACTGCAAGGTACTACCTTTTCTTTAAATATCCCTAGAAAAAATAGTAAGAAATTTAAATTAATTATCTAGGTTGATTTTGACCAACTTACTGCTCATTTGTACTGGTGCAACTTTGGACACAATCCAAGAAGTTTCATACAGCAATGAGGGAAAGGGGACACAAGGTACACGCAGATATGGATAAGAGAAAGCAAGAACGCAAGTGCTTCCCTCCGCTCTTAGTCCCAGAGGCCTCTGCAAAGCCAGCTGTCCTGAAGAGGTGATGCTCACGTTCATCAAGCCCTCACAGATGCAGCGATGGAGCCCGGTGCACGGTTCGCCTTGCACAACTGCTCAGGACACCTCCAGCCTCCTCCAGAGCACCCACTCCGATCTGTACAAAGGGGACAGGCCGCAGTCTTGCCCCTTCCCTACCTGCCACTGAGAAACTTGCCTCCCTGGGACACCAATTCCCTAAAAATGGGGAGGGAGAGCATGGATTATTTGTTTGCGAGAGTGTAAAACCAGCTTTGGACAGATCTACATTTGCACTGGACAGCAGAGAAGGCACCAAGTAACGAAAATACCCAATCATCAGGCGATACGGATGCACAACGTTCTTCCCACTTCTGAAGGACACAGAGTAGATCCGACTTCCCTGGAGTTAGCTGAATTTACATCAGCTGAGGGTTGCTCTCCAAAGCATGGAGCGTGAAAGCCATTGGGTTTATTTCAAAGAAATGTATATATTTTTAAATACGCATTTATCTTTTAACCATCACTGGGGAAGGGCAGGACTTTGTGAAGATAACAGGGTTTCAGAATGAAATGTCACAGAAAGTAATGTGTAATTTACTAGTAATCCATCAATTATATGGGTTACAAGTCTAAAATGTCAAATAAGAAAAAAAGATAGTCATTTCACCTTAAAATCTGACATCTTCAAATATTGGTTCCTGCCTGAAAACTGTTACCTCTCCTGGAATTATGAAGCTGAATTTCTGAAAAGTGTTTTGCTTAGGAAGCATATTTTCAATTCAGCAACAATCACATTTCCAGAAGCAGAGGAGGCAAAACGTCACAGGGTTTTAAAGGAATGGGGAAACTATAACAGAATGCAAAGAATATTACCAGCTCCTCTATTTTATTTTCTGTTGAACTGTTTTATATAGCCACAACCACTGTTTTATATAGCCACAACTGCTGAGGACTCCCTGAAAAATTATGCCAAATCTTAACATGAAATACAGATTCATAATGCTGGGATATATTTTTCTTCAGGTACAACGAAGAAAAGAAGAAAATGGAGCTGGCATCCCCTAAATTCATTGCTGATTCTTGGAATGGAGTTCCAGATAATCTCGATGCTGTCCTGGGTCTCAGTGACAGTGGTAAGCTGCAAACCTGATTTAAGTCACTAACAAGCTCTTTGAATTGTCTGCTGTGAAGCTTACTGGAGATTTTAGTTTCTCCTGCTTCATGAATAGGCAAGCAAATGCTTATTCAGCTTTGCATACTTCTAGCTCAGACTTTTTTTTCCTCTTTCTTCTCCCATTAAATATCAATTGATTAATATCCTAAAAATCACAGATTTACCCTTTTAAAAAGGAAACGTTTAGGGAACACAGCCTTTCCTAAACATTTTGGTCCAAGCAATTAATAGTTATTCTAAGATCCTTCTCACAAAGCTCAGTTAATTTCAGTCTGCTACCTTTCTTTATCATTTGCTTCTTTGATGCTAATCATTTTGGAATAAAGTAAGAAATAGCTTTTAGTAGCATTTTTTTCTCCTGTTTGTAGGAAAAGAAAGCAAGTTAGTTTCATAAGGCTATATACTGCCTTGTGAAAGTGTCTTGAAGTGTCTTACCGCTTTGTGGCTATGTTGTACAGGACTAGAAATGTGCTACACATATATTAGGCTGCTAAATAAACAGAGAAGAGCAATAGATGACTCGGTCACTTTGATGTCAAGATGTCACTGAGGCTAAGATCTGGGTTTCGGTTGGTTTTCTAATTTGGGCACAGGGAAAACTAGCCTCCAGGAGAACTTTTTTTTTTTAGTGTCGTTGGAGACGCTCACGGAAGTGGCTCCTGCCGCACGCAGCCCGATACGCAGGCTGTTTTACCACCCAACGGCATGGAGTGGGACAGTCTCTGGCTCAGAAGCTTCCCAATACCCAGACAGCTCTGGAGGTTCCCAATAGCCAGGATACCTCCCAGCACTATTTCAGCATCGTTCTGCCCTACCACGGCCAGAACTATCATCGCTGGCATCACAGGCACAAACAGGCAGCATTTTACTTCCTCCTCCTCCTTCCTCCCCCTTGGCCTCTCTCAACTGTAGCTGAGGGCTTGGCATCTTCTTTCCAGTGGCCTCATATTTTGTGCCGACAAGCATACGCGTCTGGAAGTACCGCCAATGTCACTAAGTCCTGAGTGACTGCATTTTTCACATCAATTGCGTTAACAAATATTTCTGCCTGGAAAATTCAGGCTCACAGAACGGTAACCTCACTAGAGGCTCCCTTTAAAATGAGACCTCTGTTCTCCAGAAAGGGAGCTTTCAGGTATTTTTTAAATAAAACTTCTTAAGTTACATAAATATTTCAGAAAATATCGCTTTCAGTTCATTAGGCTTAGTGAAATCACACACAAAAAGTAGTTTTGATCAGGAATTACATCACCCATAACCCGAGTATGTTTTTTAATTTACTTCACAGGATACACCTACTTTTTCAAAGATCAGTACTATCTACAAATGGAAGACAAGAGTTTGAAGATTGTTAAAATTGGCAAGATAAATTCTGACTGGTTGGGTTGCTGAACTGTATGAGCTATTAATAACCAAATATTTACTTTTTTGTTATATGCCTTATCTGTAATTAGAAATAGATCTGAATGCTAATTACTGGACCAGTCTGGTACTGGCACCAAAACATTAAGTACCAGTACTGTACACATCAGATAATTTAAGTGTGTCTGCCTCCTCAGTATAGAAGAGATGTTTACGTATGTATTCTGGTACAGTTTTTCAGTTTTTGTGCTAGTCCTAGTAACGCTCGTAACAGAACACGCATCGTTCTTTACTCCCCCGACGCTTAAACACACGGAAACCTTTGGAGACTGGATCTGGCCCCTGCGTTATACGCATCCAAAGAGGCTCAAATGAGATGTACCAGCAGTGCACTTTGATTTTTTTTTTTTTTAAATACAACTCTGTTATAAATAGGTGGTTTGTCTTGATGTTCTTCACCTCCTTGTGAGTTTGACCATTACTTCCATTTATTTACATAATAATACAGAAAGACTGTCAAAGGCACAGGTTGCCTCAGGATTTGATTTGTGTTGATGCATGATGGAATCATGGCAAGAAACTGTATTAAAGTATTGTTTTAAAGTACTTTATTTTAATACCTTAGTTAAATTTAGCAATTTGCTTCATGCACTTTGTTACTACTATATAACTTGTTTATATGGACAGAACGACTCAGATTTTTGAAGTCAATGTGTTATACATAAAAGTCAAGTATTATTGTTTAACTTGTCTTACCTTCCTGTTCTTTATAATATTGGGTTTTTGTTTGGTTAGTTTTTTTGCTTATGCCTTGGGCAACAGAAAAGTGTTCTTTTCACAATCTGATGCAATGTTTCTCATTTGAAAAAAAAAAAAAAGCAGAAAATAATGTCCCACACATGAAGTGCCAATGATACAAATAAAATCAAATTACACCGTCAACACTTCTCATGGCCATGCTTCCTTAAGTCATTTGCATTTAGAAACTCAGTAGTATGTTACAATGAAATACCTGTCAAAGGAAAGACAATATCACCCCAGTATATAACTGCATATTGGATTTATTTAGAAACCTGGGTGAATTTTTCTGTTAGCTCTAAAAACGGAACTGCACCAATTTAACATTAAGCAGAGGATATGGCCCACAAGCTTCCATGAAGCCCACTGCCTCTGCAGAACAGTTTGCATGCTTGTCCGTTAGCCACATTTTTCCTCCTCATCACCGGGCTATCCCCCCACAACACTCACAGCCAGGACAGCCACGCAGACACACATCTCCTACAGGGCACTTAGTAACGCTGAGAAACACAGGGAAAACGCTATCCCTACAGCTGAGGCGAGATGCCACTCTGCAAAGGAGCTTACGCAGCTTCACAAACAAGAAACGCTTTGGGAGACTCTATAGGCGGCATCACGCAACCCCGATCCTTCTCATTTTAAGCTCATGATTTAAAAAAGAAAAAAAAAGGCTATTAACCAACTAATACCTGAAGCAACAATCAGCCGATTTCTTCTCACGTCCTCTACAACAACAACAATCTTGGTGTTTTTCTCTTCTAACTGGAGTTTTTCACTACAATATTTTGAAGAGATGCCACTTCTGAAGTGGCTGCATTTGCCAAACCACCTTTCCATTGCCCGCTATCCAGAGATAGCTCCCGCTTCAGGAAGCTTTTGGTTATGGCGATTACAGAGTGATTACCACCTGGATGAACCAGTACTACTTTCACCTGCGCCAAGAGAAGAGATGGACATCTCCCGAGCGTCGGCGTTCTTTTCAGCTGCCATCGCCTGCCCCTCCTCCAAGCAGTCCGGCAGCAGTCAGCGGGATCGGAGCAGTTATAACGGCGGTAGGTTGGTACTGCAGGTTTTCCGGACACCTGCCAACTTTCTCAGGATTGTAGAAGCCAGTGAGCCGTTGCGGGGATGCACCGTCTGTCCGGACCACAAACACCTTCCTAAACTTCTGTTGGCAATACTCTGTAGCTTTAATGGCAGCCAGGAGTTCCTTTGGAGTTTTGCAATAATTTCCCCCTAAAGAATTTAAGCTCCTCCTGTTTTAAGCAACCATCCTCAGACAACCATCGCCTGAAGAGCCTTGTGTCAATACTGCCCCAAACTATGCTCTAGCATCTGTATTTAATACGAGGAAGGGTTTTGAACCATGGCTATACCAGGAAGAACGCCTGCAAGAGGCCTTTGCAGCTCCAAAATTACTAACTCACATTCTACCAATGACTGAAATAGTTTCCTTTTCCCCTCCAACTTACGTATATGTTTTGCAACCTGGCAATCTACCAGTGTATCTTCTGTAATAAGACGACCATCATTCTACAAAATTTTGCACATCTGGTGGGTTTAAGGAGTTCTGTACAGCTGCTTGTTTTCTTCTTGTCATTGTAAACCCGTTCCACAACGGCTACGTCACTGCTAGACAATCAGAAAGGAACAAAAGCCAGAAGCTTGAATGTTTTTCCCCCAAAGCCTGTTAAGCCTCAGCATACAATTCTACCAAAGCCTTGCCTACCTTGTGCTACCTCGAAGTTAAAGTCAGGTTTACTTAGGACTTTTTGATGTCAGGATAAGGTCGCCCACACGCTGCACAGGGGGTTGTAGCAACACAGACAGAAACTTAGACACTCCTGCTCCCGGAGCTGAAGGACGTTTCCTCTCGGTGACCCGCAGGACAGGCCGTGCGTGCTCAGCAGGGCACCCACCACCAGCAGGGCAGGCTGTGCATGCCCAGCAGGGCACCTCCAACCCAGCAGAGTAAAGGGCAGCACTTCAGTGACTGCTCTGTCGCAAGACATGAAAGGCAGCCAAAGCTATAATGAAATGCCACACTTTAATACTTAACTGACACAGCAGCCTGAACCGTGAATCACCCTTAACAGTTTGCCTCTCACTAACACTGTTTTTGTTAAAAATACATTTTCTTCCTGCTATTTTGTCATAATTTACATAGCAGCAGTTCCTCAAATTTAAATAGTTGACACCAACTGTGCCATTCTTTACATCAGAAGAAGGTCGGTCCTTCGCGCCCATTCCAGACAAGTTATTTCTGCTTACAAAAACGCGCATGTTTTTCACAGCAAAGACTGGGTGAACGGACGTTCGTCAGCTTTGGGAAGAGACTCAGCTAACAAATGACCAGGCCCTGGGGGATCTCCGCACATGCAGATTTATTTCTGCAAGGGGGAATACTCTGTTCCCTGGCTGGTTATGTAGAAAGCAAATAAGAATTAAGGTATTTCAAGGTAGGGAACCGTAGTAAGGACAAAAAACATAAAACAAAACCCCATAACAACAACAAAACCAACAGCTCCAAGACTCCATCGGAAAAATGGCACAGGGTCAGGCAGAACTGGAGGAGTCTCCACAGCTGCCGACAAGGCTCCCGCATACCAGAGCCCATCAAACACTCACAAACCACTACTGCAAATACACCCGCTTCCAGCACTGCCTTTTAAAAAGGAAGCGAGAACAAAAAATGGCATCTTCGGGTAAACTGTCCAGTTGTGATATTTACACACAAACAGCTAGGATTCCCGGCAGCGCTACCCGGGAAGCTGTGTACATAGCTTCCCCTCCGCTCCAGAGAGCGGCAGCAAGTCTGCACCTGTGGAAAACACAGGCTCAAACTCTGTAGGTTTTTTCCCCTCAAAAGATCTTCCATCAGTCTTTTTGTAATTGAGACAAAGTTTAAGAAACTAGCAGAACAACAGAACTATACAGTCTTACGGAGAAAGGCATGCCAGATGTCATTTCCTAGAATACACGAGAATCTGAGAAAAGGCACACTTTCTTTATGGCCTGTGCCAAGCTACCAACAGAAGTGAGAGATTTTTCCATTTTTTTGATGTCTTCAGATCACCACTGGCTGCCTTTTTGGAGAAAAACTTTCACTCCGACACAGCATGCCCGGCGTTAATACAGAGTAACTGGGAATAAATCCCTGGCCTGGACCATGCGGGGAATGGACTAAGTGAGACAATGGTCTCTTCTACCCTTGGGATCCTTAATCTATGAAATTAGTTTACATCAGTTTTGGGGTGGGGGGAGGGAATGTGTGTATATAAATTTAAAAATGCTTTTTTTTTATATAACGTATTAAATACATGCCTGCATGTGCACATGCGCACACACACAAATAGCTCATGCCTGTGCTAAAATGTCTTATTTAATATTACCCTGATTAGCGTTCAATTAAAACATTCATGTGAAGTAATAACCCGCTTAGCACGTAGCACCAGCTTCTTCTCCCTTCTCCATCCAGCCCCATCCAGAGCAGCAAAGGAGAACACGGTGCTAAAACTACGAGCAGTCAGTCTGCCCAGGCGTTCTTCCCTGGCAGCACTAGTGGAGAGAACAGTGAAGAACTTCAGAGTAATCAACAGTTCACTGGGTTTATTGTTTGAAAGACAAATAGTTTTCCCCTAACTGCTGAACAAATGCTGGGAGGGCTGCATGCAGATTGCCTGCTGATACAGTCTCTAGATCATTCTTCCACTGGTTTTTGCAAACCCCCAAATTCCTTTTCTACTGCTGAAGTTAAGCCTCAGCCAGCATCCCCACACCCACGCTCAGACTCTACCGGACAACCCACGAGCCACTCCGAAAACCTGAGATAAGAATAAGAGGCCACATGTCACTACAGTCCTGCATTTCCCTCACTAGCCCTGCTGCAGACTGTCTGCACAATGAACCAGAGGGTGACAAAACACATAACTTGCAAGCTTTCAGCTGTGTGTTACTGCCCAGTGCTTTCCTCTGGGACTTCCCAGAGCTGCTCCTGAGTGACTAACTCGCTCTGCTGTTAAGAATTTGCCAGCAGTGCCAAAATAAACTTAAAGCTAAGAGGATAATTGTTTTAATTTGCATTAGCTTGGAGCTTGGCAGCCCATCCCTAGAGTTATTTGGAGGTGGCCTTCTCTTGTAAAAGACAGAAATTCACAATGTCAGCCTCTCCAAGTGCATTTTTATCGATTTATTTATTTAAGGTTTCTAACCACTGCTTTAATCTTGGACTGCCTCACAGCTTCATTGTGTCTTGCCTGCACCATTACAACAGCCATGACACTGTTGCCAGAAGGGCTGAAGCTAGAAAGCAGCTTTGCATCCTACACTTGGACACTGGGCAAGGATGAAGACCCGGCACCTCCACTGCATGAAATTTCTTATCACTGCTAGCCAAGAAATGAGGAAAGTTAACCACAGCTCTCCCATCAGGCGTCACATCACACAGTCAGTTGTGCCACAGAGACACTATTTCTTCTGTGGTTTCAGTTATAAAAGACAACGCTGGCTGCTGCCCTCCTTTTCAACTCCCTTCCTTTGACCCACACTGAACTGCACCGCAGGAGAGCTCGCTGCTGAGGCAAGGCACCGACTATTGTATTAGGCAAACGAAGTTGAAGCAATTTACTGAGAGGCAAGTTTTACAAGCAAAAGAAAGAAATTCAGTCCGTTTTCTCTCTGTGGTCAATGCACTGCCTAACCTATTCCTCTAAAGGGAGAGTGTGATTTCTCACTATTAAGACCAAGTAAGGCTCATTACATTCTCCTATCTTGCATTTTCATGCTCTGCTTTTCCATTTAGAAATATGCCCTTTTCAAGACCACCGACAATTCTTTTGTTCAGCAGCTCAAAAGCATGAAGTAGGAGGACCTACCCTGCAAGTCCTTTTCTGCTGTTTGCCATGTGGTCAGAGAGATCTCTGTTTATGTCCTTTTAAAATCCTCATTGTTACTTTGTAGCATTCCTTACGAATTATGCCCTCCATCCATTCCTACCTTCAGGAGTGCTGCTCTGCATTACTATGTATCACTGTCTCAGTCCTCTACCTCTTACACTATGTTTTATCACTGATCACGGGAGTATAACGTTGGCTTGGTTCAAGGCTCAATAGGTAAACTTTCGGTTATCATTCTCATGCAGTAGC